AAGGATGTCTGTTTACTGTTCTGCTTTAATATTCTATCAGCTAATTACTATGATATAAAATTAACTATTGTTACTATATCTCATACGGTGACAAGGAAAAAGAGAAGGAAGAAAAAATATTTTTAACATATACAAACATATACAAAAATAAGAAAAATATACTAATTTATAATCTTTATTTCTGCGATTGGGCATGTGGTCAGAGCTGGTTTATAACTCTTTCCACTATCCAGTCCCTAATTCCTTTTCCCTCAGCAAGTACTTCCACTGGCTGTGGTTATGCACCTGGTGAGGTGACCTAAACCTTTACTCCTGAAAGGTCTCGACCATTAGCAACCCATCCTGAGTTGGACTGTTGTAGTTTTCTGTTGACTTGAATCACAAGTTTTGGTAATGCTAACATTCTAAATGTCCTGTATTTTAGACATACTCTTCCTTATGTCCATTATGTAGTAGCAACTCAGATTCCCCTCAATAATCAGGATCAGTCATCCCAGCCAGTTTTTTGCCTTTTGATTCAGAGGCAAGAGGAGCCCAAAGTGTCAGGGTGGCAGTCTCAAATTCCAGTTCAGTGGAATCGTTGTGTTTCCTGGTAGAAGCCTTCCTCTCTTTGAAACTAAGACCTCTAGACTGCCAGAGAGCCCAAGGTTGATGGGAAGAGAAACAAACATTTTGCTAGTAAAATACCAGAGATAATAGTGGGTGGAGCCCTTCCCACTTCCACCCCTTCAGGCTTGGACCCCTGGATCCTGGCTATGGGAGACGGCACCATATATTGCAGGCTGATTTAAAGCATATACAACCTCCTGGAAGACATTGCTCAGTCTTACAGTTTTGTACACCTAGCTGGCTGGCACTGTAACTGAGGCCATTCCATGGTTCTATAGGGTCAGTTGCTTCCATGGGGATGATTTTATAGTGAGAATAGTTCAGTGAAAGAAGGCAACGAATTTAAGTAATTGTGAAGCCTATTGCGTTTTTTGGCATAAATTCTTTCTATCAAAATGAATGTTATCTAACCTCAAATTTATACCGTATAGAAATTGTTAAAATTTGAGCTTGGGATCATTTCTTTAATATATTACTAATTTTATGTGGATTATCTGTTTTCAGTCAACCTATTTTTTTAAGTTTATAATTTTTAAAATGTGTGAAATAACTAGGTTGTGTTCACTATGATTTTTCCCCCTCTTCTAGGCAACAGTCCCTGTTCCATGTTCTTGCTGCATATTCTATTTATAATACGGTAAGTTGGAGCATGCCTGCCTGTAGCTCTTTGGGGAGTATTCTGAGGAACAGGAGAATCTTTCTGCACGCCCTTCCTAACAAGGCCCTTTGGGCTGAGTTTCTTCATGTCAGAACTAGATGGTGTCCACAGCCTTTGATCTCTGCGGATCTCTTCAGGGCTCCTTACAGTGACCCTGGGTCTAGAGCAAAGCTGACTTGGAAATGGGAAAAATCACAGCATATCAGTGAATCTCACTTTTTCCCTCTTTCTCCAGCCTGTTTGTTTTATTATTTTTGTGTTGTTGTTTGTTTTGTTTTTATTTTAAGCAAACAGGACTGGGAATGACCAGCGGTAGAAGGACAGGAAGTTGGTAGCTAGATTAATTTTTGCTTTGCACTTTATACATTCAGTACTGCCTGTGCCTACTTGCTATTCCAAAGAGCAGGCTAAGACGAACCTTTCTGGTAATGGAACATGTTGTTCCTAAAAGGTATTTATCATCCTGGGGGAGATAATAATTTTAGGCAAGATCAGTTAAGGTTGAGCCTAATTTGTATGTTAAGTAAATGCTTGTTGACTAGGTTTTAGGCAGGACAGCCTTAGACCTTGAGATATGTCATTTTTATTATAATGAAAACCGTTAAGTTACAAGGGACAGAAATCCCAAACTAGGACAAGTTAAAAAGGAGTTTATTAAAGGGTCTTCTCATAGAAATGAAGCAGTAGTTGGACCTCCTGGGTGTTGAAGCTGGTGCGAAGACTTCGGTGAGAAAGAGCTACACTTTTTCTCTCTTCCTCTTGAGCTGACTCTGATTACCTCTGTAAACTGTTTATTTCAGTATTTCTCTCTCCAGTTGCTTTCTTTGCCTACTTATCAGTTTTTCCATGGCTAAAATTGCATCCACAGACTCACCGTGACCACTCTATTCAAGGACACACTACCATCTGGTTACAGTCTCTGGCTTCATTCAGATTTCCTGGAAAAAGTTCGTGATTAGTCAGTGCAGCCAATTAATTATTCCCCTGGGGTCAGATGTCCTCTTCTGCTCCATCAGCTTTGGTTCATGTATACCTACGGCCACTTGATGAGCAGGGGACATGGGGCGAGTGGGCAGTTCTCAGAGAAGGGGCACAGGCTGCAAATGTGTGTACATAAAGGTCCAGAAATCTAGAGAAGGCCTGACAGTGAACTGGGAACTGTAGGAGGAGAGAGATTTGCCAGCATCTGAGCAAAGAAGAGGAATATTGAGCTGAGAATCATACATAAAAAGAAAAACAAAACAAAACACTGCTAGTGCTTTTTATACAAGGTAGAACAGTATTGAACAGTATTACCCCAGAGTATATTGTTGGTATTTTACAAAAATTAGATTGAGACTTTGTTCATACCTCTACATTTATTCTTGAACACAATTTTATTCTTTCATAGTATGTGGCTCAGTACTATGAAGATTTTAATACTTTTCTCATTCAAGAATTGCTCATTCAATAATGTATTTAGGCATTTTCTGATTATTTTATAGGTCAGTTTTATATGTGCATATGCATGTAATTTGATCTTAAAACTCCCAGTTTCTTTGTTCTCATTTGCTCTTCAGGAAGTTGGATACTGTCAGGGGATGAGCCAGATCACAGCTTTACTCCTTATGTATATGAATGAAGAAGATGCCTTCTGGGCCCTGGTCAAACTCTTCTCAGGCCCCAAACATGCCATGCATGGTAAGAAAGCCCCATAGTTATCCTATCTAATAAAGAGGGAATATGCTAATTGACCCTCATGCCATCGCAAAGATGATGGCACCCACAGCCAATAAGGAGGGAATATGTTAATTGACTGCCCCACCTCACAAAGATGGTGGCGCCCACAGCCACAAGATGGCCGTCAGGGGAGGGAAGTTGTGGGTGACTAGGCCAGCAGGGGAGGGTAGTTAGGGGGGACTGGGCCGGCAGGGGATGGCAATTGGGGGGGACCAGGCCAGCAGGGGAGGGCAGTTGGGGGCAACCAGGCCGGCAGGGGAGGGCAGTTGGGGGCAATCGGGCCAGCAGGGGAGGGCATTTGGGTGCAATCATATGGCAGGGGAGTGGCGAGCCAACAGTCCCAGATTCTGAGAGGGATGTCCCCCAAGGGATCCCAGATTGGAGAGGGTGCAGGCTGGGCTGAGGGACACCCCCCCCCCGCATGAATTTCATGCACCAGACCTCTAGTCATAAATAATAAGCACGGGAGAGTGAAAGAAGGTAAATTAAAGCACAAACTTTGGAAGATGCTTGGAAGAGTTAAGTACAAAAACTTACTTCTGGGGGCTTGTTCAGTTAATTAGTGTTTGTTACTAATTTTTTATTTCACTCTTCTTTATTGAACTCTTCTAATTTTTTTCTGTTCACATTTATATTCCTTTGTGTTTACCCCAGAGTATATTGTTGGCATTTAAAAATTCTTTTTTTAATTGCCCCTCCAATCAGAATAAACTAATTTATGTTTGGAGGAATTTAGAAAAGCTGTATTGGAGAAATAAAAGATGCCTTTTGATCAAAACTTTTAAATAGTCATACGGTTATCATTTCAGTGAACTGTTTATTATTGACTGGATATTGTGATCTATAACTCTTTGTCAAAGATTGAAAAATGGTGCTTAAAGTGTTTAAAGAAAAGGTACATAAGAACTAAGTAGTTTTGTAACAAGTGTATGTTCTAGTTTTTTCAGCTGTAAAATTGATTCCATTTTACATAAAAGGTTGGTAACACATTCTGGATACTTTTGTTTTTAAGTTAGAAGATTGATTTTGATAACCATGTCCTTTTCTTTGTGAAGCATATGCAATGAATTTTATTTAAGAATTTGGATTCCAACTTGTCTTGGAAATAAAAGTGACATATGTCCCAAATAGTGCAAAATTATTTTCCCAGTGCCATTCATGTGATAATACCAAATAAAAGCAAAATCTAACACCAATCACTCCAAGAATGGGTCATGTAAGTTCTGTTGGTGAATATTTACACCTATATTCTGGGGAACCTGCCACATGTTTAAAGTGACATTTTAACATGACCTCCCATAGTTTATAGTTTATTAAATCTCACATTCTTACTATGTGGTTGGCTGGGGTGTATTTTGTATGTGTGTATATGTGCACATGTGCACTCGTGTGTGTTAGCATTTGGCTATTTCTTTCAGTGTTCCTTGTGAATTTTTAAAAGATAAATACTATATTTATGGCAACTGTTTCTGGACACTCTGCACCCCATGAACAGACTCCAAAAGTCTGACATATTACATTGAACTGCCATTCAATAGCATGATTTAAAAAGCATCTTGAAGGAAAAATAACTGCCTGTCAGTCTTTATTTTGCTTTACCATGGGATGGGGTTGCTGATATATGTTGAAATACAGTGGAATGTTATAATTTAAGTACATGTAAATATGTAGAAGACTGCCCTATTTTAGAAAAGTTATTTTTTTGCATTTCATATATGGAAGTGTCATTTATAAATATATACAATAAAGTGAGGGCTGAAGAAATGAGATTTAAAATATCAAGTCTGGGATATCACTGAAAAGTGAAGGAATATTAGGTATCTTTGCCAGTACTTGTTATTGAAGGGCAGTACTTTTAAAATACAGACTTCTTGAGATTCTTCCAGTTTCCATCACTATCAAATTGACCATGAAAGTGGCACAAACAGAGATATGAATTTTTTAATGAAATCATTTCACTGGAAAATATTACTAGGGAAGGAATAGAATCTCTGTGGAAATTTTTACACACACCTGAGAAAACAGAATTAGTTATGAAATAGGCCTTCCCCAAAATATGTAAAGCAGTGTTTCCCAAAAGTGTGTGAGGAACATAGTTTTACTTTGGGGAACATGTTTTGTGGGGTAAAAGCGGTTTTCAAGATCAAATAAGTCTGGGAGACGGAGTTAAGCAAAGAAAAATGTTTCTGTAGTCTATAAAACAACTGGGAAACTTTAAGAAGCTCATACATCAGGGATATCTAGGGAGGGCATAGGTAACACACAGTATTTGCCCTGGATTCTTTTTTCAAAAATAATTATTAACATCTTTCAAAGCTATATACCCAGGTTGTTAAAATATATGGAAAAATTGTGAATCCATTAAGTGTATATCCTTTTTAATGGAATGTGTAGAATATCTAAAAGAAAACTTGTGAATAAAAATAGATGTAAGGTTCCATGAATTAAATACGCAAAATTAATACTGACTTACTATTTACAATTAGTTGCCATCTAGAAATCTTATACATTACTAGAGGCCCAGTGCACAAAATTTGTACACTGGTGGGGTCTCTAGCAGCTGACGGTAGCTGGCTGGGGCCTCCCTCCCTTCCCCTGGCTGCCTGCCACAAGCCAGGGCCTTCCTCCCTTCCCCCAGCCAGCCCCACCCCCTAGTCAAACTCTCAGTTGAGGGGATAATTTGTATACTATGGTTTTATTATATAGGGTATTGTATAATCAGTTGGGATAAAATTCCATTTTTGATATAACATTGATCACATAGTGCCAATGTTTTTATCTGCTGTTAAATATCACTTATAAAAAGATTAAAAGTGCCAAAAACTTTGGAAGCATGATACTAATTAAATTGTTAAGAGTAAATCTTGAAAAAGTAATGAAATGTTTGTTGTGTAATATATTAACAATAAAACAAAATGATAAGAAATCAGAGTTAGAATAACCTATAAAAATTTGCACATTAAAGATATGGCCCAATACTTTAAGAGAACAAATAATCTTGATAAATGACTTCAGTTTTCATTTTTTCTTAGCTTCTTCGTTTTCCTTTTAATTCAGAAATATTCTGTTCTCTTTTATATTTTTATTAGGTTATAGGAGATCTTCAAAAAATAAATACTATGCTACAGGGTTTTATTAATCAAAGCTCATACACAATTATTTTTTTGGTGGGGAGGAAAAATATTTTGGTTACTGGATTTATTTTTTGATATTGACAGTTAAAAATGAAAAAAAGATTGTATTTTAAAATAGGAATTTTTATTGGTCTTATTTAAGAAATATTATTTTTATGTTTGTATTCTAGGCTTTTTTGTCCATGGTTTTCCTAAACTCTTGAGGTTTCAAGAACATCATGAAAAAATACTGAATAAATTTCTGTCCAAGCTTAAGCAACATTTGGTAGGTAGACGTGACATTGACTTAAACCCACTTACACCAAGAATAAAGCTAGCAGAATTGAGTGCAGCCTTTGGTCCCAATTACCTTATCAATTTATGTTGTTGTCCATTTCATTTAGTATGCAGTTATAATTCCCAATTGTTTAAAGAACATTTGGTTTGTGAAATTTAATATTGATCAACTATCACAGCCCTCACTCAAACTTCTTTGAAGCTATGATATTTCAGTAATTTTGAAGATATTTTTTTAAAAGATTTTTATTGATATTTTAGAGAGAAAGAAAGGGAGAGGGAGAGATAGAAACATCAATATGAATGAAACATTGATTGGCTGCCTCCTGCACGCCCCCTAGGAGGGATTGAAATGGCAACCTGGACATATGCCTTGATCGGGAATCAAACCAGTAGTCTTTCAGTAAACGAGATGATACCCAACCAACTAAGCCACACCGGCCAGGGCTTGAAGGTGTTTTTATTGCACAAAAAATATTTAAAGGTCATATAAACTCATCCTTAGTGAACCATATATATGATTTATGATAAAAAAACCAGTAGTTTAGTAAAGCAAAGATACTTCACTATAAACTATATTAAAGAGAATCAAAATCTTGTATTACAATCCTGTCATAAGAAGCATTTGATTTTCAAAAGTAAAAAATGAGAGAGGAGAGGAAACAAAAAGGAAAAATAGAAATCCTTCAGCAACATGAAAAAAGATTTGTAATGAAATGGTTTTATGTGTAGCTTTGACAGCCAACCCCCTACAGCTTTTGTAACTTTTAGTGTTGTATGTCATGTTTTGTTTGCTACAATCCAGAAATTATGAAGTCTCTGTTTTTTCAGGATTCTCAAGAAATCTACACAAGTTTTTACACAATGAAATGGTTTTTTCAATGTTTCCTTGATCGTGTGAGTATTTATTTACAAAACCCAATCATGAAATTATAAATATCAGACAGGGCAAACTATTAATCTTATTTCTTTTTTGTTTTTAATTATAGACTCCCTTTACGCTAAACCTCAGAATATGGGATATCTACATCTTTGAAGGAGAACGAGTTCTTACTGCTATGTCTTATACAATCTTAAAGTTACACAAAAGTAAGAAAAAGTTTAACTATAAAGATTTCACAAAAATCTAGTCATGTTTTAACTCTGAGTTCTCATTTCCTACTCAACTTCATATTCTTTTAGTAGTGATTTTTAAAAATTCCTAAAAATCAGTGAACAAATTATCTTCAGTTGATAATTTACTTTCATTGGTTCTTATGAAGAAGTTTACTTCATTGCGAAGGTCTTTGATTCTTTTCTCTATATCAGTTTCATTTTCATACTTAAACAGTAGGATACAATGTGCTGGTTTTGCTAATAATACTAATAATCTTATTAAGTATTTGTTTTCACTGGGACCCTGTTCTTTTCATCAGTCTGAATCTCAGCTTTGTAATAAGAGAGAAGGGAGACCAAAGAAACCAGCGCCTTAGTCTAAAGGTCTAGAGAGGATATTTTCCATTACTGTTTCTTTTCTCCAGGAAGAAAAGCATCTAGCTCCTAGGTATAGACAAGAGATGGGGACACTCCAGCTCATCTATCTGCTTGGCTGCATTGTGGCCTCTGGGGCAAGCATGGCCCATGTTTATAGTTGCCTAAATGCAACAAGGCTTTAAAAAGTCTGCAGTTGCAATATTTCTGGGGCTCAGTAAATTCGATGTGCTATGCCTTGTTTAAAATCAAGAAATGAGAGTTCTTCTTCATAAAATGAAGAACCTTATTCATCTTAATGTCTCAATTCAACCTTAAAAATTATGACTCCTTTTGTAACTTTGGGAAAAGAGAATCACTGAAAGCTTTAGAATTGCATGTGCACTTCTAATTAGGCCACACAACATAGTTTTATGTTCATTGTATTCACTCTCATCTGTTTAGCTTCCCAACTAAATTATAATCTAACTAGGGGACCTGTGCATGAATTCGTGCACCTTAAAAGGAACTGTGAGCCGCAAGGCTGCGGTGGGCACAAGGGCAGGTCTCCGCCCATCCTCTGTGCCTCCACCCGGCCCTTTCTGCTATAGTTCCCTGCCCCCTGTCTGCTGGCAGCCCCACTCCTGCTTCTGCCACTCCCACAAGCTGACGGTGTCAGCCCCGCTTGCACCCGCTGATGGCGTGGAGCAATTGGGGCTGGTGCCAGCAGCGGGTGCAAGAGGGGCCAGCACCAGCAGCAGGTGTGAGTGGTGGATGCTGCCCCAATCTCCCCTCAGGAGCAGGGGGAGGTGGAGAAGCCCGGAGGGGCAGTCAGGGCCAGCAGCTGCTGCTCGCACCTGCTGATGGTGCCTAGCACTCGGGGCCAGCAGCAGGTTTGAGCGGGGCCAGGACCGGCACTGGCAGCAGATGCAAGCACCAGTGGGACCAAGGTGCACAGGAGCAAAGAATTTTCAGTAACCAGCAGAGACTCGCCCCGACAATAGTGACGGTGCTCCACCTGGTGCCCCTGCTCACCTGCTCCACTATCCCGCTGCAGCCAACACCCCGCCATGTTCCACGCTCTGCAGTCTGCTGCTGATGCCTGCCATGTTCTGCGCGTGCCCTCTGGTGGTCAGCGCACATCATAGCAACCGGTTCAGTTTATTTACATATTAGCCTTTTATTATAAAGGATTGAGTACTTGAGGTCATGTTTTGTAGTTTTTCCCATGTTGTGCTTAGCATTGTTCTAAGCACACGTTAGATACTTTAATATAAGATTGTTTGTTTGCTTACCCGGAAAGCGTAAACTTCATGAGCACCAGATTATCCAAACTTTAGACAGGAATGGAAATCCCCTTTAAAATCATATTTGTATTGTTTACTCTGAAAGAAAAGGATTCAGAAGTGTTGTGGTTTTGTTTCTCTTACACCCAGAACCTTACTCCCCCAACACACAAACCACAGCACCAACCAAAACAATTGACAATGAATTGTCTCCAAGACTCTCCTATAACCACAGAAAATCAGTCTCCCTCAATTTCTCTCAATCTCTCTCTCCCTTTCTTCTTTCTGTATTATGAATTGACCAAGATATAAAACAAAAGTAAACTTTTTATTAAGATTTTTACTTACTAGTTTAATGTTCCCTAAACATGAGGAGTAGAAATATGAAGTTGTATTTCTCTATAGTGCTCCTCTCCCTCTTAAAGTATGTTTTATTTATATGTCTCTTGATTAATTTTCATAAGTAAAAAGTTTCGTTACCCTTTGTAAGTAAACTTTAAGTGTAACAATTACTTACTGTGCTATCATTTCAGTAATCTAAAGCTGTGGAAAGAAGTCTGTCTGCTACTGTGTATTTTTTCTTAGGAAGAGAAAGCTCAATGACTTACAGAAAGTTCATTCACTGCCATATAAAGCTTCAAAAACTGTGTCTGGGCCCTTAACCAATAGTTAGTTGAAGCTCCCAACATTTTCTCTAGGTTATTTCCCAGTTGCCTTAACACTACTGAGACATTGTTCCTGGAGGTTCACCACACAGTGGGCTTAACAGTAAAAAAGAGAGAGAAAAAAAGAAACTACTTAGGTGCCCAATATTAAAAATTATAGTACATTCACACAGTAATAATGATGGTGTATAATTATACTTGTTGAAATAAGGGATATCTGTGATATAGATTATTGAGTGGGGGGAAACAAGGTGGCGTTACTTACTTTTTAAATTGATACACATGTATACACATCTTCTTATAGAGCAGTTGCTATGGGATCTTAGGTCATTTTTACTTTGTTTTATATCTGTAATTTGAGTTTTCTCCTATAAAATTAATTTCATAAGTAGAAATATAAGTAAAATTAGTAATCCATATTTTTTTGAAATTCTGAAACAGTAAAATTATAGACCTAAAAGTGAGTTTGGAGCTCCATGTCAATAAAACAGAAAAATCTCATGTCATCGTAGGTGGTCTATGTCTGTTGTATCTAAGAAGCTCTTGCTCTGGATTAATATGAATGCTTAGGTATGGTTATTATTAAACCAATGAGAAGGTGTTTAGTAGTATGCAGTTCCTCATCCCCCACACTAAGAGTACCTGCTTTTCTCTGTGACTGTTTTGTCATACTGAATTTCAGTGATATTCGCAATACCATATTTAATTTGTTTGTTGTGCCCCTTTAAAAAAAATACTACACCAGAATAGAATACATTATCTTCTCAACCTAAAGTAGCTGCTGACAGAGTATTATATTTTGTCTTTTCTTAGAACATTTAATGAAATTGTCTATGGAAGAACTTGTAGAATTTCTTCAGGAGACCTTGGCAAAAGACTTTTTCTTTGAAGATGACTTTGTAATAGATCAACTTCAGATTTCTATGGCAGAACTAAAGCGGGCAAAATTAGACCTTCCAGAACCTGGTAAGAAATATCCAAACACTTTATCCAAATCATAATTATAATTGGGAAATACGGCACAGTTAACACGGGCCATTTCTGTTTCAAACATAATTATTATACATGCTTGTGATGATATACTGTAAATCAGTGTCTTACCAGCTGTTTATGACTTTATTCTATTTTAAGAAAAAGCAAATAAATGTATTAATTAAATCTGCATTTCCTAATAGAATAACTGTACTATCCCTACCTAAATTTAGCAAGTTTGGTTGACAAGTAATATTTTTCAGCAGAAATAACCATATAGCTTTAAAATAGCGTAACAATAAGCTCTTTTTACTTTCATCATTTCAATTTATGAAACCATATGCAATTACAGAGCAAGTAAGGGTCCTGTTTTATAGAAGAGGAAACTGATACTAAAATGCTTATAAATGAAGCTACAGGACCAGCAAGAGAGCATTATTCACAATAGAGTGCAAGTTTTCTGACTATTAATCCAGGGCTCTTTGTAGTGTACTACACTGTAAGATGTTATATTTTATTTACTTACTAGAGGCCAATGCACGAAATTTGTGCAAGGAGCTTAGCCCCTGCCACTACCATGGCTGCCTCCGCCTCAGCCCCTCCGCCTCTGTGACTTCATCCAGAAGGTTGTTTAGTCTAATTAGCATATTACACTTCTATTATTATAGATTTCAAGACATCTACTAGTACCTCCTATTGGGTTTCCTGCTAGGTGCTATGAGGCATGAACAACTGAAAAGAAAGACATGCTTCTTGCTTTCCGGGTACACACAGGAGAGATGGCATTTACACAAAGATAAATAGATTGTGAAGGGGTAATGATAGAGCTAGATAAATACAGTGGGGCCTTGACTTACGAGTGTAATTCGTTCCGTGACGGAGCTCATAACTCGAATTACTCGTATGTCAAATCACTGTGACGTTCGCTGCGCCAACTAGCAGTGGGGTATCTGAAGCTGGCTCATAACCCGAATTTTTTTGAGCTCGACACTCAAAGCAAAAAATCGGCCGGGAGACGACTCGTATCTCAAAAAAACTTGTTAGTCAGTAAACTCGTAAGTCAAGGCCCCACTGTATAGGATACATGGGGAAGGATCCCAGGAAGGGGAATGGAGGATGAGTGGGAAGAACAAAGGAAATGTAGAACTATCACAGTAGGAATAGCTTTTAAGAGTTTTGACTAGATACTACTTGACAATAAGTTATTCTGCCCTTTCCTTTCTTTACCTTTTTTGCATGGATGGGTGTGAGAAGGGAGCCAGGAAGTGGAAGACCATGGTGATAGTGAAAAGTAAATGTGGTCAGTTATGTAAGACCTCAGGTGCAGTTGGATTTAGCGTTTCCAATCAATGTGACCCATACTTGCATGTCTCCTTGGATGTGTGTGTACAGAAAAAGCAGAAATATATTAATGAACAAGTATATCTTTTCTCCTTTGGTGAAAACCAAGATGCTCTGCTTTTAGTTATTAAAGGGGTCTAATCATTAGTGTTTCTCTGAAGTTTGTCTGGGTCATCAGGGTTCAGTGGAAAACAAAACATTACAGCAATAATTGAGTGTGGGCACAGAAACCATCACCTTTTCTAAGTGAGGTCAGTCCTCTCTTGTTCAGTATGATAATGTCCAATTTCTACTGATTCTTCCTTGTAGCAGGATTGCATTTGGAACACAATTACTAACTACATCCTTGCTACTTTAATATTTATTTTTAAGTATCTTGCCTACTTTTTAAAAAGAGTTTAAGGCAAGTTTTAGTAAAAGTAATATAGAGAAAAATGCATAGAGTAGAACTGTCTAAACATGGGAATGAAATATCAAAATCTATGTAATTCAGCAGCTAATCTTTATTGAATACTTACTGTGTTCCATCCACCTACTACATGGACTATCTCAATTATTCCCTAAACCTAACTTAAAAGGAAGTATTTGTCTTCATTTTACACATGAGGAGTCTTGCAGTCCTTTCTAAGATCTCCTTACTAGGAAATGGTAGAATGGGGATGGGGAGTGGGACAGGGGGTTATGGGAGAGATATAGATAAATAAGACCAGAAACATTGGCTCTGTTTTGCTCTGATCATGCTGGCAGTTAAAGTTGAACATGGTCAGGTGGCTGTGCACTTTCTACTACGACAATCTCTCTTTCACCTATGCTTCTACAACATTTCCTTTTGGACTTTTTGTCTTGAAGCCTGCCTATTGTTACCTCTCTACATTTTTGTAAGCCAAAATGGAACATTAAAATAATTAGATGAACATTATAACAAGAAAGTTTAGTATCACATGTATAGTTTTTTTTCTAATCTTTATTGTTTAAAGTATTACATATATTATTACATTTGTCTCCTTTTCCTCCATTGACCTCTCCCCGGCCACTTCCACCCCCTAGCACATGCCCTCACCTCCATAATGTCTGTGTCCATTGGTTATGCTTATATGCATGCATACAAGTCCTTTGGTTGATCTCTTACCATTCCCACTCCCTGCCTTCCCTCTGAAGGTTGACAGTCTGTTCGATGCTTCTCTGTCTCTATGTATTTTTGTGTGTGCGTGTTGTTATTTTCCTGGTTTGGGAAATTAACAAAAACAATTTAAACAGTTTAAAAACAGCAAAAATCTTCTCAGAAGTTTGTGAGTTTTAAAGTTGACATAATTATAAAAGTAAGACACAGGTGTTATAAAAAAACAAACAAACTAGGGGCCCAGTGCATGAATTTTTGCACTTTGAAAGAAACTGTGGGCTATGAGGCTACAGTGGGCACAGGGGCAGGTCTCAGCCCATCCTCCCTGCCCCTGCCCAGCCTCTACTGCTGTGGCCTACCCCCCCACCCCCATTCCTTGTCTGCCGGCAGCCCCACTCTGGCTGCTGCCGCTTCCCTCTGCTGATGGTGCTGGGCCCTGCTTGCACCTGCTGACACGCCTGATGGTCCACATACATCATAGTGACCGGTTTTTCCGCCATTTGGTCTATTTGTGTATTAGCCTTTTATTATTTAGGATTAAGCCATGCCAAATATGCAGGGTAAAACATTACAGTTCTCCACTCACCAATGCAACTTTTCATCATCAGTAACTTGGTGGGTATCAGTCCACATTCTTTTCTATGTTGTCATATAAAGGCATCACACTTCTTAGTGTTGTACTTATTTGAAAATTAAAGGCCAGGTGCACGAAATTTGTGTGCACAGCTTGGAGGGGGCGGGCAGTGTCCCTCAGCCCAGCCTGCACCCTCTCCAATCCGGGACCCCTTGGGGGATGTCCGACTGCCAGTTTAAACTGGCAGTCGGACATCCCTCTCGCAACCCAGGACCGCTGGCTCCTAACTGCTCACATGACTGCCTGCCCTAACCACTCTGCTTGATCCCCCTAACTGCTCTCCCCTGCTGGTCTGATCCCCCTAACTGCTCTCCCCTGCCAGCCTGATCGCCCCTAACTGCCTCTGCCTTGGCCTCACCACCGTGGCTTTGTCTGGAAGGACGTCAGGAAGACGTGTGGTCTAATTGGGACATTACCCTTTTATTAGTATAGATCAGTGATGGCGAACCTATGACACACGTGTCAGAGGTGACATGCAACTCATTTTTTTGGTTGATTTTTCTTTGTTAAATGGCATTTAAATATATAATATAAAGATATCAAAAGTCTTTGTTTTACTATGGTTGCAAATATCAAAAAATTTCTATATGTGACACGGGACCAGAGTTAAGTTAGGGATTTTCAAAATGCTGACACGCCGAGCTCAAAACGTTCGCCATCACTGGTATAGATGGTTAAAATGAACTGTTGGATAAGGTAAGATTTCATTGCTTACTCTTATTCTGACTGATTTGTATTCTGTAATTACTTCCTTCTAAACATCCCTTGAAATTTCTGACTACAATATTAATAATGGAAGCAGCAGTAGGTAATATAGTAGAAAGAGCCTCAAATTCTACAACAAAAATCCCAGATTATGGGATTTACTAGCTTCACAGTGGTATGACCAAATCATTTAATTTTCTTTTGTTTATTTCTGAGATTTTTTTTATTTTTGTGATTCTGTAATTCTCTTAACAAAAAAATATGATTTTCTTTTAGAAAGTAATTGAGCACTTTATAAATAACCAAGAATGCAAAATTCAGAAAATTTTTAGCTAAAGGAATCATATGGCAAAAATAAATGTAATTTCTAATCAGAAGAGTTCAATATTGCCCTAACCGGTTTGGCTCAATGGACAGGGCGTCGGCCTGTGGACTCAAGGGTCCCAGGTTCGATTCCGGTCAAGGGCATGTACCTTGGTTGCAGGCACATACCCAGTAGGGAGTGTGCAGGAGGCAGCTGATCGATGTTTCTCTCTCATCGATGTTTCTAACTCTCTATCCCTCTCCCTTCCTCTCTGTAAAAAATCAATAAAATATTTTTTTTTTAAAAAAAGAAGAGTTCAATATTGACTATAGCTTTATATTATGGTACAATGTTACCGAGAATCATTTCACTATGATCTTTTTTTTAAACTTTTTTTTAAAAAATTCTTTATTGATTAAGGTATTACATATGTGTCCTTATCTCCCCCCCTTTTTTCCCACCCCCTCGCTCATGCCCTCACCCCACTGGTGTCTGTGTCCATTGCTTATGCTTATATGCATGCATGCAAGTCCTTTGGTTGATCTCTCTCCCTTACCCCCACCCTCCCCTACCTTCCCTCTGAGGTTTTATGGTCTGATCAGTGCTTCTCTGTCTCTGGATCTGTTTTTGTTCATCAGTTTATGTTGTTCATTATATTCCACAAATGAGTGAGATCATGTGATATTTATATTTCTCCCACTGGCTTATTTCATTTACCATAATGCCGGGTCCATCCATGTTGTTACAAATGGTAAGAGTTCTTTCTTTTTTACAACAGCATAGTATTCCATTGTGTAGATACACCTACCACAGATCATTAATCCACTCATCTGCTGATGGACACTTAGGCTGTTTCCATATCTTAGCTATTGTAAATTGTGCTGCTATGA